CTACAGAAGCTGGTTATTGGGACGTGGAATGTCACCTCACTGATGGGGAAGGAGCCTGAGCTGGTGTGTGAGGCTGAGAGGTTCTGGCTAGAAATAGTCGGACTCACCTCCAGTGATGGGAATAACGGAGTACAAATAAACGGCGTTACAAACGGCGTTATTTTTTTCATTAACGGGTACTCTAAGTCGTTACTATGTCTATCGTTACAACGCCGTTACCGTTACAACCACTAAATGGGGTACGTTATTTTGTCGTAAGCTGTTTGTTTACTTTTTTTCCTTGGTGAGGGTAGGAGGGAGGGGTGAAACAATCATATAAAGGATGATGATGATTGGCTAAGGTAGAGTAACAGGTAAAGAGAGGTAAGCCAATCAGAGGTTTTGTTGTTCAGTTCACTCGCAAACCACACGCTGCAGCTCCAAATCTGAAAAGTTAGCAGAAGTCCTGCAGCAATGGCGAGTCCGGAGGGAAAGCTGGCGTTTTCAAAGTGGAAATACAGACACTACTTTACTCTCCTTGAGGTAAAAGGCAAGAACGTGAGTGTGAAGTGTACATTATGTCCCGGAGCGAAGTGTTTGTCTACGTCCGTCGTAAGCAACTCTAATCTGATGAAGCATCTCACAACTGCACATGGTTCAACAAAACTCGTGGCTAAAAACACTGCTGTTGACAGTACTGATGATGATAGCAGACCAGGTGTGGCTAACGTGAGCTCTGCTAACGAAGAAGAACGCGGAGCTACGCCGTCCAAGCAGTTAAAGGTGGATTTTTTTGCTCCAGCTTCACAGAAACTTGTGACGCAGAATGAACTAAACCGATTGATAGGCAGGTATGTTGTTGAAAACATGCTCCCATTATCAACAGTTGACTCAGACTCATTCAGAACCCTTATTGGCAAAATACCGGGGAGAGCAGGCGTCGGTCCTCCATGCAGAAAGACATTTTCTAAATACATAGATGCTGAGTACGCTAAAATGAATGCCGAGCTGAAGACTGGATTTGAAGAATTAGAATATGTCTCTACTACTGCAGACATTTGGAATGCACATAATAAAAGTTATCTTGGCGTAACTGCCCACTGGATACATCCACAAAGCATGGAACGAAGAAAAGCAGCCCTGGCATGCAGACGATTTAAAGGTCGTCATACACATGACAGTATTGCAACTGAGCTTGACAACATTCACTCATTCTATGGCATAACCCACAAAATAACATCAACTGTCACGGATAATGGCTCTAATTTTGTCAAAGCCTTCAAGAAGTACCAGCCTGTGGAGGATGATGAGTCTGATGATGATGAAGATGAGGTGACATTTGTGAACATTAATGATGTCTTGCAAAACAGTGTTGGTGATGATGATAATGATGATGTAATTACTTTGCCACCACATCAGAGATGTGCATCACACACTTTAAACCTTGTTTCATGTACTGATGTTGACAAGTGGATTTACTGTCAAGACCAGAAACAAAAGCAATATACAGGAGTGCTACAACCAAATGCACAGCTTTATGGAACAAGGCTAGCCGTTCAACTGTGGCTGCAGAGACTGTTGATGATGTAATCGCAAGGAAGCTGCTAGTCCCTTGCAGTACAAGATGGAACTCGTTTTATGATGCCCTTGCTCGCATCTGTGAGATCCCTATAGTTGCACTGAACACCATCTCTTCCGAGTTTGTTTTGAAAGCCATCACAGAACGGGAGCATCAGTTCCTCAAGGAATACTGTATGGTAATGAAGCCACTAACAGTAGCCTTAGACATACTTCAGGGAGAAGACAACTGTTTCCATGGCACACTCCTACCCACACTGGAGACATTGATGTTGAAGACCCTGGACCTGAAGAGTGGTCTGCAAATCCTCGTTGACCTTCCAGAGGCAATTGTTACAGTAAGAACTAATATATATTTTTAAACACATAATGAAAAGATACAATGTAAAATTAAATATATTTGTAAACTTACAATGTGTAATGCTGTGTGTGTGTGTGTATGGATAGTCAGTATAATATTTACTTTGTATATCATTGCAGGCTATCAAAACAAGATTTGCAGAGGTGCTGGAAAGTGAGAATGCCGTCTTGGCTGCTGTGACTCTGCCCAAGTTTAAACTACGTTGGCTGCGGATGCAGGACAGGAAGGACAAGGCCAAGGCAAGTCTGCTAGCAGAGTGCCGGAAAAGTGCTCAAAATGAAGACCAGCGAACAGGTACTACCATCACACCAGCATGCACTGAGTCAGCCATGGAGGATGAGTTCTTCTCCTTTGAGGATGAGGATGACACCTCTGCTACTGCTGAAAGCCAAGTTGCTGATTATTTCAAATCAGGAGCACAAGGGATGGACAGTCTTAATGGATTTCCACTTGTAAAGAAAATTTCACTCAAATACAATGCAGCCACTCCATCTAGTGCCCCTGTGGAAAGACTGTTTAGCTTAGGGAAGCTTGTCTTCACTCCAAAGAGGAACAGACTTTCTGACCAGAAGTTTGAAAGGCTTCTACTTCTAAGATACAATCACTGGTTTAAGGGGTAAGATGGTCAGCAGATGACTGGGTTGACTGAGTGGATAAATGAATCCATCTATGCATGGATAGTTTAGTAGCTAATGTTGGGTTTGTTCAGGTAATTCAGATTTTCAGTACTGTTTTAAAAGTACTTCGTATTGTTAAAATGGTTATTTTGTTTTTAAGAAAATACTTGAAGAACCAGTTGTGTGAGGGTTTGATTTTATTTTACACTACAGAGTTAAAACACTTATTTTAACTGTTTACTTTTATTTCTAAGAAAACACTTGAACAGTACAGTGTGTACATAAAGCTAAAAACACAATTGTTATGTTATTTTGTTAAACTGTATTTTTGTAATGAAGAAAAAACTTGAAGTATAGTATGTCAACCAGTCATGTTCTGTTGAGGTGCAGTAAGTATTAAAAGTTTTGTGTTAAGTACTTGTCTTTGCAATTCTACTTTAAATTTGTAGATATATCTCAACTTAAACCAAACAAACAAACAATAGTTACTTTAGTTACTTTCCCTGGTAACTAATTACTTTTATAGGGGAGTAATTCAGTTACTAACTCAGTTACTTTTTGGGAGAAGTAACTAGTAACTATAATTAATTACTTTTTAAAAGTAACATTCCCAACACTGCTCACCTCTACTCATGGTAAGGTGGCAGCCCAGGGAGGGGCACTATCCTTCCAGTTTTTATTAATGCGTTGGACAGTTCTTAACCCAATTTTAGTAGTTTCTGCAATCTCCTGAAATGTTTTCTCTGCTTGATGCCAATGATTTGACCCTTCTCAGACCGACATCTTTTCCACGACCACGTCATGTGTCTTTCATCATGGTTGTTGAAGAAATGAGAAGCAACGCATTGCACCAGTTGGGAGTTAAATAACTTGTTGCAGCTGAAACATAATTGTCCATGCAGTAATTATCCAACAGGAGGCTCGGACCTGTTTGATGAGTTAAATCCAGGTGGTGATTATTTATTTTTTGGCCAGGCAGTGTATCTTAGATCTTATTAGTTTTTCTTTACCTTTTATACTTTTGTTGGATGTAACTGGGACCCTATGTACACAATTTCGTTCCACATGTACCATATGCGATGGAAATGACAATAAAGAACCTTGATATTTTTTATTTTATAAGTATTCCTGCTAATGTAATAATTATGATGATAATAATAAACATTCAGAGTTTAAAACAAAATATTTATTTGTTCTGAAGCAATGGGTTAAGAATGAAACTGACACTGAAGTGTACAGAAAACCAACCCACACAGACCAGTATCTTCTGTTTGACTCCCACCATCCACTGGAACACAAACTCTCTGTCATCAGAACTTTACAGCATCGGGCCGAATGCGTCCCCACAAAGACAGAAGGGAAGGAAAAGGAACAGAAACACATCCAAGATGCTCTTCTAACATGTGGATATCCTAACTGGGCTTTTGTCAAGTCAGAGAGGAAATCTACAAAACACATTAATAAACTGAAAAAGGAGAAGAACAGACGTAAAAACATTGTCATCCCTTATGTTGCTGGAGTATCAGAGAAATTCAGAAGGATCTTCAACAAACACAACATCCCAGTACATTTCAAACCCAGCAGGACTCTCAGACAGAGGCTGGTCCGCCCTAAGGACAAGACACCCATACACAAACAGAGTGGTGTAGTGTATGTGGTCCAGTGCAGCGAGGACGGTCCAGACCTCTACATTGGAGAAACTAAACAGCTTCTTCACAGAGGCATGACTCAACACAGGAGAGCCACCTCTTCAGGACAAGATCCAGCAGTTCACCTCCATCTCACAGATAAGGGACACTCTTTGAGGACCAAAATGTGCACATTTTGGACCGAGAACACAGATGGTTTAAGAGGGGGGTGAAGGAAGCAATTTATGTAAAAAGAGAAAAACCATCTCTTAACAGAGGAGGAGGCCTCAGATTCCCACTTTCAAAAACATATAATGCAACTTTAAAACAGATTCCCAGCCGGTTTTCACACCTGATGGGAACAGAGGGGCCTCGACTGTGAATTAGATGAACAAAAGACTCTTACTGTTAATGTTGTTTAGGTGTGAACTGCCAATCTATATATGTGTGTGTGTCTTATCTCACTCAGCCTTATAACCTGAATCTCTCACTCTCTGCTCTTTGAAATGAGAAAGCTCCTCGGATGAGGAGAGAAACGTCTTCTGTTACAAATAAAGTCCAGTTGTTTTTGTATTGAACGTTTTTTGAATTCATGTCCTGGATGACTGAGAAGCTTCACCAGCATAATGAAAATGACACACCTGAGCCCACCAGGTCCTGAAGCAGAACACTTTAGCCGGGTTGATGGGTGGTGACCTTTGACCCAAAGGAACCTCTCCACACTGAGGTCAGAACAGAACCCACAGGCTGATGTTCAGATTTTGTTCAAGTGTTTGTTTCACCACCAAGTAAAAACTAGAACAAATGTTCAAAAATTCATTTCATAATGTCGTTGTTTGTTTTGGATGAATGTTCTCCTGGGTTTGTGTTTAGAAGCAGCAGCCGTTTGCTCTTTTTTCTGATGGTCCATTCTGAAGCCATGACCCGGTTTGGTTCAGGAGAAGTAGAGCTCAGTGAAACCAGCAACGGGCGGCGGTGCCGGGCTCTGCTTCCTGTCCAGCTTGGGGCCTTCGAGGTTGTGGGACGAGGCGAGGCGGCTGGGATGCAGCAGGCTGAAGAAGTGGAAGCGTTCACCCATCTTGGCAGGGTTGGTCAGCATGTCGTAGCTGCTGATCAGCTGCTTCCTGGTGGATGAACTGCTGCAGGTCCTCAGAAGAACCTACGGAACCACAGGAGAGTTTCTGATCCAAAGTTCTGTTCTACAAACAATAAAAGCTGGGATCAAAGCAAAAACAGAAGATGGACTGTCAACGAGGACCACAGTGAAGTCATCGTGTCCAATCAGGTCTCCTCCACCAGCTATCAGGTGACACTCACCTGCATACGCGTGTCAATACCCATGTTCTTCAGGAACATCCTCTGAGTGACGGGTCCCAAACAGGCCACGCCCTCCCCGGCCATCCTCCTCAGGAAGCTGAAGTCCACATCAGCAGTCAGGTCGGCTGAACCAGGGGCCACAAGGACGTCATGGAGCTGGTGACCCTTAAAACTCTGACCAATGAGAAGAAGTCAGAAACAAGTATTATACTACAAGGGTCGGGCAGAACCACATGACTCAAACAGAATCAAACAAATCAGAAATAAAACAAGTCAAACTGAATAAAACGAGCCAAACAGAGTCAGAGAAAATCAAACGAGTCAAATTGAATCAAATGAGTAAAACTGAATCACACAAGTCAAACAGAGTCAGACATAATCAAACGAGTGAAAGTCAGACGAGTCCGACAGAATCAAACGAGTCCGAGAGAATCAAACGAGTCCGACAGAACCAAAGGGTCAGACAGAATCAAACGAGTCATACAGATTCAAAAGAGTGA